CCCCCCACCCCGCCGCGAGAGCGCCCCGCCACTGCCGCCCTGCCGCCTCCGCCCAAGCCCATTCCCTACCTTCTGCCTTCCACATTGCAGGGCTGGAGGCCGCCGGAGCCAGCGTGGACCTGCCAGGTGCTTCCAAAGCTTTTAAAATCCTGGGCCATTATGTCACATCACGCCCGGGCGTCCTCCCTGCCTACATGCAATGCTGCACATGGGCAGCAGCAGCAGGGCGGGGATGCTCTGGGGGCGGGGTGGGAGGACGTGTGGGGGGACCCATGTCCGCTCCAGGCAGAGCCGGGGGAGAGACCCAGCTCCACATATCGGTGGAGCAGGGCCCCCGGCTTTGTAACTCGCCGGCACTTCCGGGTTCAGAGACACGGGGCCCGAATCGGCCTAAGGCTGGCCCTGCTGGCAGCCAACAGGCATGCTGAGGCCCGGTATTTTTTTCCCATGGCCCGGTACCAGGCCGTGGCCCATATTTTGGGAAACGCTGCATTGGAGGCCTCCCACCAAACCTCAATCAGGTTCATGATCTCCGCACTGGACCAGGAAGGCGCCCACCTTTTGCAGCCCTTTGCAGGCTCCTGGGAGCTGCCAGACTGCTCCTGGGGAGCGGTGGAGGGCTGGCTGGCACTAGCTAGCTGGCTCATGCTGGCAACTCGGTCAGGGGTAGCGCCTGAAGGCTCTGGGCTGGCAGGCCTGGAGCTGGCACAGGCCCTGTGGCCAAACAGACTCTACCCCTTTAAGGGCTCCCGGGCTGAGGGGGAGGAGAGGAGTTTTCCTGGTTTGGCCCAGAGTGGCCACCAGGGCACCCTGGGAAGGGCTGGAGGCCCCCTAGTTCAAAATAAGCGTCTACACAGCGCTTATTTCGAATTAGCTATTTTGAATTTTGCATTATTCCTCGTAGAATGAGGTTTACCAAATTCGAAATAAGTGCTCCGCTATTTCAAGTTAATTTCGAAATAGCGATTTGGCTGTATAGACACTAGGAAAGTTATTTAGAAATAATGGCTGTTATTTCGAAATAACTTTGCTGTGTAGACATACCCTGAGAGAATAACTCTAAAGACTGGTAGTTAGGACACCTATGTCTGCTTGTGAATCTAGCTCTCCCCAATTTTGAACCAAAACTGGTGAATTAATGTTGGCTTTGTGAATAGTTTTGGTCTGCTTTTTTGGCATGAAAAAATTCACCGAGCTCTAGTCAGAATAAATGAAGAGCCGAGTCATTAAATATGGTTTTAGATACAGGAGTTCCTTCATCTCTCTGGCCTAAGGAACATATTAGGAGGACCATTTCAACCATGAAAATGAAAGCCACGTTAAGTGGTGTATCAACACTGGAATACAATGTCGATATGCTCAGTGGAGTTAATTTTATTCTGAATTAGAGCTCATTGGTGTGGGATACATGAGAAAGTTCTCCTAAGGTGAGATTCATTCATTTATATATTACTTTATGTGCTATGCTGCTGGGAAAATAATAGCAACCACCACTAGATAAATGTTTTATACCTCATACTGAAAGATGCATCTTTTTACATTTCAACTCACTCTTATTATCAATACATAGAAAAAAGGAAAACAGAGGTACTATTACTAATAGCCACTATTACTATTTAATTAGTGACACCTGAAAAAAAACTCTTTATTTTACTAAGGCTTTGTCTACACCATGAATTAGTTTTGTCGACAAAACTTAGTAGTGTAGACATACTCTAATAAAGAATGGACATCTACGGAAGTTATTTCTCATTTGAAATATCTAATCTGATATTATATTTCAGTACAAAGAACTAAAAGAGAAAAGATGCTGTAATCTAATCATACCACAAACCAGGTGACATCTGTACTAGGCAGAATACTGTTGTTATTCTGCTGTCTAGTTGCTGTTGCTGAGAATGACGAAGTAGTGAAATTACATTTTCCCATTATTATTTCCAGACACTCTCTGGCAATGGTTTGTTGACTCTAATAAAGCTTCAGACAAAGCTGTCAGCAGAGGAAATGGCAGAAGCAGAGCCGGGAACAACCTTCATAACAATAAATGAATCTAAAGCCTCAGTGATAGCATGTGCATTTTCTGATAAAATTTAATGTGAGTATTTCAGAATCTATCATAAAACTGCAGCTGAATTCCAAAGGGATAAATGTATTCTACCAAGTCACGGTACTCAAGCTTTTGACAAACATAAACATATTATGAAGGATTAAAGAGTTAGAAGCCTTACCTGCTATAGTATTGAGGAACATCAAATATTCAAAGTTAGAAATCTCCCGTCGCTGCCAGCGCTGAGTCATATTGGAGGACTTATAAAGCTGTCTGGGAGTGGCCAGAGATATTCTCCTGGGAATTAAATTTAAAACATGTTTATTTTAAGAGCATTGTTAAACTTTAAAATGCAGAGCAAACTTATTAGAATGATTTACATGACATTCTCTCAAAGCCTTTTTATTTTGTTTAATGAAATCAGCAAAATACTAATATTCTTTGAATAATTCTTATATAAAAATCTATCTATATATTTTATTTTATCAGTGCTATAGCATTGCTAAAAGTACTCTCCATCCTTTGTGCCGTAGTTTTCCAATTTTACAATAGGATAACACTATTTCTATTTCCATACATCACAGGGATATTTTGAGGATAAATGCATTAAGGGGAATGCAATATATTCCAGAATCACAGATGAAAGATATTTTATACATCAATGCAGTTAGTGAATCCTGTCCCTACAGCCTGCCCATCCCTGCTTTCAGCACCACTGAGCTCCAACAACACTACAGACTTTATCTTCTATTTACTACAGTAATGGGGGCAGGGTTTGTTTGGAAAGAAAACAGGGGGCTGTGGAAGGGGGCAGGAATTATTCCCTTTAGTTACTGGAGTTAAATGAATTCAAATATAAGAGTGGTGTTTGCTTGCAAAGCCTGAGAACTGAACTTCAAAACAAGCATGTAATACTAATGCTAAAATTTTTATGCTGTGATAGCAATCATAATCCAATTCAGGATTAGGATCCTATTATACAATAAATTTTACAGAATTAGACACATTCACTGTCCCAAATAGAATTACCAAAGTAGACATTTTAGCTCCAATGCACAGCCATAATAACTCCCATACTTACGACTTCCAGACTTTATTACTGAGATTCCTATCTAATAATGAAGCTACACCTCATAAAGCTCTGTTGGTATGTCTACAGTTGGAAGTCTGGTGTGGTTCCCATCTTGAGGAGACACATGCTAGCTCTCACTGCCAAAAATTGCAGTGTAGCCATGGCAGCAAAGGCAGCAGCTTGGGCTAGCCATCCAAGTACATACCCACAGGGTCTGCACAGGTTTCTACTCCCTTCCACTGCTGACTAAGTTACTACACCCTCACCTCCAAGAGGAGACATACCCTAAATGGTATAAAACATAGCAGACCATGTGCTTAGCAACACTTACAGGTTGTCTAGTATAAAATCTCTGTCCTTCCCTAGGAATAACGTATTGTTCTCCATGTTCATCAACACCCACAACAGCTACATTTTAATGGAAAAATAAAATTGTTGACTAATAAAGGGAGATTCGAGAGTGCAGGAAACAGAACTTTTGCAGCAGCTTGATCTAGTCTGTGGAACTTAATCCTACAAAAGCGAGACTGTTTACCTCACCATTTTCAAAATTAATTCAGTGCTCCTTTATTTCACTTAGTTTGTCCTGAATAAGTGCTTTACACAGAGACACACTCTGTCTTACATACACACACAAATAAATCCTATACATTAAGCCAGCTATGTCTCCTACAGGCTAGAAATAAAGAATGAGATTACTTCTGTTCTTAAATGCTTTGAAATGTTTGGCTATTGCAGTTCTAAGGCCCATACCAATACCTAGGCAGAGGGACATATTATGTATATATATTTTACAAGTTACAATATATTTATTTATTTACAGCTCTCTAAAATGACAATACCTGCAATTTAACAAAATATACCTTTTAGAGATACAGTATGATCACATTTATGATGGACCATTTTATGTTACTGACCTCAACCTTAACTATATTGGCCCCTGGCTTTATGGGTGTTTGTGTAAGTTTATACTTTGGGACTTTATTATCACAATTTGTGACATCTAGGCCTTTTTGGACACTGTTTGGTATATGTATTCTCAACTCAAACACTAATATCTCTGCCACTGTAGAGAGTCCTGCTTAGAGATTTCGCAGTCTATAGATAGCTGAAATAATAGTCCATAATGGCTTCAATGGAGCCAGTCAGGTCTAATGATGTTAATTTAGCTGCCATGTGTAGTCAGGCTTATGTGTATGTTGCCCATTTAAAGGAATAAAAGGAAAAAAAATCAGTGGTGCATCAGCAAACCATCTATTCTTTGAATTTCTGTGGCTGAGGTTTCAGATCTCCCTTTCTGCCAAACAGTATTAAACTGCTGGTTTTTTTAGTGTCTACTATATGCCTTATTCTTCTCCAATCCACAAGTTTCTTAATCACATTTTATTAGTGAAAAATAACAAAATATTGTAATAAAACTTAAAGTTACTATAAGTAAAATAAGCACTGTGCAGTTAAAATGGGGGGGGGGGGGTGTAGGGGGGGGGGGGGTTCTGAAAACTTTGAGATGTGTACATTTTATTTAATTATTTACAACCTAAATTTTCAACAGCAACTACTCATCTGAGGTGACACAACTTCTGGGTGGCCACACTTAAAAGTGGATGGTTTACAAATGATAGGTGCTCTACACTTTCTAATATAGGCTCCCTTAAAAGTGTCAAGTTGAGCACACCCAAAAGCGTTAGCCATTATTGAAAATGTGAGGCACACATTTGCACACAGAGACATTGATATAATTGCATATATAGTTACAGCCTTACGAAATTTACAGTCCATTTTAGTCAATTTCATTGTCATAGGATTTTAAAAATCATAAATGCCATTATTTCAGCTATTTATATCTGAAATTTCATGGGGCTGTAATTGTAGGGAACCTGACTCCAAAAGAAGTTGGGGAGTCCCAAGGTAATTTTAGGGAGATTGTGGTACTGCCTCCCATTAATTCTGCACTGCTGCAGGTAGCAGCGCTGCCTTCAGAGCTGGGCATCTGGTGAGTGGTAGCTGCTGCGCAGGAGCCCAACTCTCAGAAGACAGAGCTGCTGCCAGCAGCATCAGAGCAGAAGTAACAGTGATATGGTATGGTATTGCCACCCTTACTACTGTACTGCTGCTGACAGGGCTGCCAATCCCTGGCTGCCCAGCTCTGAAGGTAGCACAGAAGTAAGGGAGGGGTAATACCATGACCCACCTAAAATAACCTCCCTGCAACTCCCATTTGGATCAGGACCCCCAATATGAGAAAAACTGATCTCCTTCATTGATTTCACAGGGGAAAACCAGATTTCATGATCCATGCTGCATTTTTCATGACTATGAATTGGACCATATATATAGCAGACCCAATTTACAAAGCAGAGAATCAACATTTGTATGCTTAATTTGAACATACAATTACCTTGATTGGTGGGTATAAATTAACTGTGACTTGTGAAAAATGGCGGTTCTTACACATACAAATTAGACATAAAAATGCCTGTCCATAGTGCTGTTGACAGAGTTAGCAAGGGGGCAGCAGCCCTGGGACCTTGCAGTTTAAGTGCCTGAAGTGGCCAGCCTCTGTCACCACTACCTCAGCCGTTTAAATCGCTGATGGAGCCCCTGGGAGCATGCATGCTGTGGCTCCAGTAGCACTGAAGGCCTGGGGGAAAATAGCTCCCAGCCCCACCCCTTCTGCCTGATGCCCTGCCCTTTTGGGGGGCCTGAGCTGGCTCTCCAGAGAGCCTGGTGTAGATTCTCACCAGCCCTGCCTCTGGAAGTACATGCACACTTATTTGAAAATCTTAACATCCATCTCTCTACAGTAGCTGCAAATGTTTTTTTGCCATTTTTTATCTTTGTATTTCTCTACAAAATCAAGGGACTCCAACGGGACAACAGATCTGACAAATATGCAGCACAGAACGGTCATGTTATTTTACAAGTGATTTCCATTCTGTTGTGTGTTCCCACACGCAGCCTTCTAAAACAATGTGAAGAATGTATTTAACATTTTAGTAACTTATATTAAGTTATAAATAGTTTAATAATTCATTTTAAAGGAACCCATCTCTTGTAACTGTAAGACCCTAAGATGTTGAGAGTACTATCGGACACAAATACATAAATTCATTAATTAATCAAATAAATAAATAAAATGCTACTACTACTACAAAAGATTGGTATAATATACTAATTTATTTTAGGTTTGACCCAAATTCTCCAAAGGGAATCTCACAAATTTACAAAATGTCCGTAAATGCTACATTTGATTTAACTGAAACATGTAGGAAAGCAAATGTGCCCAGAAAGCTCTCTATTGACTATATATCTGAGGAATTTCAGCGTTCAAGTTATTTCAGCAAAGGCCAAAATAAATTATGCACAATAAATTGATTCCATACCTACTTATTTCAGGTAGCACAGGACTGCTGTAGGTTTTGTTAATCCTGCAAGCTTTGATCAAACTACACCTCTTTTCAGACATGCTATCACAAACGTGGAGAAGTTTATATGGATCTGCTATACTGGCTTTTTGGAAGACAGTAAATTCCCAGCAGATCAAGACCTTAATGTGCAGAGTGCAGACAGACTACGGCTATAGTAAGATATTTGAAAATTTTAGAGAAGTATGAGATTTACTAAATATCCTTACAGAGTGTCTGCTTTTTAAATATTCCCAAGCTGGCAATATAACTGAGCCTAGATGCGAAGGCAAAAAACCCTGGTGTGAGAGTTGATGCATGAATGCAATCAGCACCACAAGATGATCTTCTCACAGAAGGTAAGAAGGCGGATAGGAGTGATGGGGAGCTTTGAAGGAGAGTATCTCAGGGGCTTATTGGAACTCTTCAGATAATGTTGGTAGTAAAAATGGAAGACTCCTCTGTGTATTTTGACAATGCTGTAAAGCTATGTGAAACCTGTTAATGCTTCAAGCTGATTTTACAATACATTTTTATATAGTATTTAGATTTGTAAACCTAAGCCTTGAGTTTGCATTTTTCAAATATATTCCCCTCTTAATCACAGAAGCAGGAGAAAAATAATTTAGTATAATCCGAATAAGATGGGGAAACTTGGAAAATGCAAAATATTTTCTATATTGATGGATGGTGAAACCAAAACCAAAAATCTTTGCAAAAATGGCACCTCAAAAACAAATACACACATAGTTATTTAACCATTGAAATTACAAACAACCTATCACTTAATTAAGTTAAAAATATTGCTGTTCAAGACACTA